AAACAGACTCTTATTCCCAAACCTTACCCTTTATCCATGGGGGGTAAAAAAGCCCCGTGGAGGTTTTGGGATGGGTGGGATGGTTGTAACCCCTTTCCCTGTGCCAGGCCCTGAACAGCAGCCGGAAGGTTCCGGAGCCGCCGGCGGGAGCGGGACTGGAGTCATTCCCAGCGAGGCTGCGGCTGTGCCGGGTGCTCCAGGCCCTCCGGATCCGCTCCCTCACCATCTCCAGGATGATGAACTTCCTGAGCTCCCCGGAGAGCTCCCTGTGAGCGCCCTCGGCAGATCCACCCAAACCTGAGGATTCCTTGGAGAGAAAAAAAACCAGCGGGATCGACCCCCCGCCACGTGCTCGGGAGGGGGTTTAACGGGAATTTTTAATAGTCACAGTTTCCATAAATCATTTTTTTTAGGGAGCTGTGCCAGTGCCTTTGGAACTGTCAGGTTAAACTTCTACATTTCTAGGAAATAAGCTAGATTTTAGCACCAACTGTAATTTATCATGTTTTATTTATTCAGCTTATTTTTCTCCAGTTGAGACCTATTTATAATAATCCATTTCCTTGTGGGTCCCTTCCAACTCAGGATATCCTATTCCATGATTTATTTATGATATATTATATTCCTTATTTATTCTATTTATTGCCTAATAAAATTCAAATTGGCTTAAAAATCATAGTGACTGTTGTTCCTGGAGATACAACAAGAATACTTTTAAAATACTTGGAATACTGCTGGCATGTAAAGGTAACTGGGGTATTTTAAAATCCTGTTTCCATCTTGGATTGGGTTGGATGGGGCTTGGAGCAACCTGGGCTAGTGGAAGGTGTGGAATGAGATGCTGCAGCAGCAGAAGCATCAAGGCTTGGAGAGATGGCAACGACCTCACAACGCTTCATCCAGCAGCTAAAATTAAAAAATAAATCCAAAATCATATGTAAATAGTGTCAATGGTTCCCCTTTAATCCTTGGGTTTTTTTTAAGTTTGCTTTTTTCTGTCATGAACACACTCAGAGGAAGGTGATCCCAAGCATCCCACGTCCTTAAAAATCAGACAATCCCGGATCAGGTCACCGCTCTCGTTCTGCAAATCACATTATTCCCAAATCTTTTCCAATTCTGTAGCATGTGGGAGGCCTTCCCAGGGATTTTGGCTCCTCCCATGGTAGTTTAAGCACCTAATTCGAGTTAAAACGAATCAAGTAAAAAGTAGAAAAAGTTTCTCATATAAAAAACAAATTATACAACGTAAAAAAAAAAACAAAACTGTCTCATAAAAATACAGACTATACAGAGAAGAGTAGCAAAGAAATTCCCAGGGAAAATTCCAAGCTGCCTGGAGTACATAGTGGTGCTTCTGCAAAATCAGTCTTTGGGGTTTTTAGAGAAGAGAACCACAGCTTAACAAGGACTGAATGTACAGGAGTATATACAGGAATTATATATACACAGTGATTATGCAAAGGAATTTGTCTGCAAGTTTAGGATTATCCTTCCCTGATTTCGGACATCCATGAGAAATCCAATGTACCTCCCGCTTCGGGCACTTCAGTATGGGTTTTTGAGGGGATGAAAGTTCCTGTGTAACTTTTCTCCCTGTTTTTCCCTGATGTAAATGAAAATCTTTTCCAGGTAGCGATCCTGGAGCGAACAATTCAACCTGGTTTCTTCCAGTGTTCCCATCTTTTAGGAGAGGCTCAAAGGAGGCGGCAGTGGTGGGATTCCCTGCGGGTGAAGCCCGGAGATATCGGGATCCACAGCTCCTGGAAGTCTTGGAAGTGGCTTATATCCAAAATTTCATTCACATTCCTTGAGAAGATCCAGCCCAACCTTTCCTCTGAGTGATGATGCTTCGCATCCTCCTTCCTGAATCCCAGTGAGATCCCAGAGGAGCGGAATGGTTGGATGGGGCAGCTCCTACTGCAGGTCCTTCCAGCTCAGCACTGAGCTGAGAAACCTGAGGGAAGGAAAACACACAAACACACGGGGGTTATCTGAGCCCTGGAAGTCACTGCAGTATCCAAGGTGAATTAAAACTGCATTTAAAAAGTCTCCAAGTTGAGTAATAAATGTACTAAACCCTCCTGAGGCAGCACAAGGCTGGGGCACAGACAGGTTTGGGAGGGACAGCTCTCCACCCTTTATAGCCAGCTTGTTTTTAGGGATAATTAGGCATGGAATCAGGTTGGGAAAGACCTCTAAGACCATCAAGGCCAACCAGCACTACCAAGGCCACCACCAACCCATGTCCCCAAGTGCCACATCCACAGGGCTTTTAAATCCCTCCAGGGATGGGGACTTGACCCTGTCCCAGGGCTTCACAACCTTTTCCATGAAGACATTTTTCCTCATATCCAACCTAAGCCTCCCCGGCACAACCTGAGGCCATTTTCTGTTGTCCTAGTTAAGGAATTAAAAAAGAACAAGGTTTTGCTGTTGCAGAAAAAAAAACACATGTAGTTTTTGAGGACAATTCCCCTCGGCTGGTTCATGGAATCATGGAATGGTCTGAGTTGGAAGGGACCTTAAAGGTCAGCAAATTCCAACAGTTCTCAGAACTGTCCAACAGGGACAGTTCTCAGAACTACTAAGTCATCAGTCAGGGAAAGGTGTTAATTAAAATACATAAATACAGAAGAATACATAAGAACAAATAAAAATACATAAGAGTAAAGACTCCAACATCTCCTCTTGGGACTTCCAGAGAAGACCAAGAATTGGTTTGGGTGTATAACACTGACCTGCTTGGCCAGGACAGCCAGGTCACACTGAGAGTGCTCTCAACACAGTCAGTGCAGAAATATTCTTCATTTTATAAGATATTGTAATTTCTTTTTCATTTTTATTTATTTTGATTTTTGAAAGGAACAATAAAAACGCCACGAAAAAGAGAATCACTCTGATAACAGAAGGGAGACAATTTTGACCTACACAGTCAACCACGCACCAGGGATTTGGTGAATTCTCTGATGGAAGTTCTTAAAACACAGCTGAGATGGGATTCAACAAACAGGGATGGGATTCAACAAACCCAGAGGGAGATACCTTGCAGCATTAGCTCCAGCTCATAGGATCCTTTGTCACCCAGACTCCTCTGCAGAGCTTCTGCAGTGCCATTGCTTTGTTGTCTGTCCCTCCACTTCCTCAGCACCAGGAATTTTTGCATGTTGACTTCGTCCTCCATGCCCTGGATCTCCTCGATGTTCTTCATCTCCATCTCCAGGCACTCGATGGCGATTTCCTTCCACTGCCGCCCCAACTGCTTCGCGACCACCATCAGCTGCTGGTCCGTCAGGATTTTTGTTCCAATTCCATCTGAAAAGACATGGACATTCTTCCTAATATCCAACCTAAACCTTCCCTGGCACAACTTGCCTCTCCTCCTGTCCCTTGTTCCCTGGGAGCAGAGCCCGACCCCTCCCCGGCTCCCCTCTCCTGTCAGGGGGTTGCAGAGCCAGAAGGTCCCCCCTGAGCCTCCTTTTCTCCAGGCTGAGCCCCCCCAGCTCCCTCAGCTGCTCCTGCTGCTCCAGCCCCTTCCCAGCTCCATTTCCTTCCCAGGACACGCTCCAGCCCCTCAATGTCCTTGTCATGAGGGGCCCAGAACTGCCCCCAGGACTCGAGGTGGGGCCTCCCCAGGGAAAAAAAAAATCACTTCCGTGGTCCTGCTGCCTCAAGTATTCCTGATCCTAGCCAGGTGCCATCGGCCTCCTTGCCCACCTGGCATGGAGATGGGCATGTTCATGTTCAGCTATTGTAGACCCCCACACCCGGGTCCTCTTCCCACGGGCAGCTTTCCAACTGCTCTTCCCCAAGCCTGGAGCATTCCAGGCAGTGATTTGTGGAAGTCTTTAAATAAGTGAGCTCAGTTTCACAGGATCACAGGATGTGCTGAGTTGGGAGGGACCCACAAGGATCATCCAGTCCAACTCTCAGCCCTGCACAGGAACATCCCCAACAGTCACCCCCCTGTGTCCCAGAGCATCAGCCAAACCCTCCTGGAGCTCTGGCAGCCTTGGGGCTGTGCCCACTGCCCTGGGGAGCCTGGGCAGTGCCCAACCAGCCTCTGGGGGAAGAACCTTTTGCTGAGATCCAACCTGAGCCTGCCCTGACACAGCTCCAGCCATTCCCCGGGTGCTGTCCCTGGTCCCCCACAGAGCAGAGCTCAGTCCTGCCCCTCCTCTGCCCTTCCCAAGGAAGTTGGAACTGCAGTGAGGTCTCCCCTCAGTCTCACAGGACACAAAAAACCCCACACATGTTATTTTAAAGGACACAGAGGCTGTACCTGCAGTGCCACCAGTCTTTTGCTTTTTGCTACAAAGTCCCCCTTCTTCCAAAATGCTGGGGGCTGGTTTCCTTTTTTTGACACCTGAGAAGGAAGGAAGAGGTGAAGTCACTTGTGTCACATCTCCTGAGCCACAGGAGCAAGGGAAGGGCACAGAGAACAAGCCACCCCAACCCCAACATCCCAAATTCACTTACTGCCTGTGCTTCTCTTCTGCTCGTTTTTGTTCTGATCATAATGGATCCAGTCCCCTGGAAAGAGTTGGCAGAGGAAACAAAAGGTGAGGGACGAATTCCCAGTTTTTATGCCCAACTTTCAACGATTCTCAGGCACAAACCAAAGCTGTTGGGTGGATTCCAACCCCTGAGAGGAGGTTTTACATAATGAGATTTTTTTCCCCTTTTATTCAACGTGCTGCAGCACGTCAAAATAGGCAACAGAACTGTATGTTATAGTGCAATAATTTGCAAAGTTATATATACATGGAATAATTTATTATAACATGCAGTAATATGCAGGGGAGTTGGAAGTAGATGGTCTTTAAGGTCCCTTCCAAATCATTCCATGATTCCCTGAAGCCCAAAGACTCACGTTCTCGGAGTTTTGCTTTCCAGACAGTTGCATCAGAGTCCAGCTCAACCAGAGACAAGGTGAACTCATCAGGTTTCTCCACATACACTTCAATGTAACTCTTCAGTTTCAAGAGTGATCCATCAACAAATTCAATTTCCTACACAACATAAATGTTTTAAAAATCAATATTTACCCAAAACATAAACTAAAGAGGAGGCAATTGGGACAGAGCCCAACTCCAATCCTCTCAAAGTTCTGCTGCTGTAGCATCAGGATTTCATCCAAAATTTTAGGGTTCTAAGAGGCAAATAGAATGTGAAAAATGGCCTTAATGCCAGTGCAGGAATGTACAGGAAAAGACTTTTGGGCCCATATTTCTATGAAGCTGCAATGCAGGAAGTGAGGGACTTACCTCAGGAGTTATTTCAGCTTCTGGCTCACAAACCAATCTGT